TGTTGCTCACTCGTAGCAGCGCTGTTGCTCCCCAGGCCGTCAGTGCATGGCTCCCCAGGCCGTCGGTACGTGGCTCGTGGCCGCGCTGTTGCTCCCCAGGCCGTCGATGCGTTGCCCCCCTCCTCACCGCCTCGCCACCTCCTCCCTGTTGCTGAACCGTGCACAAGTTGTACCGTGGCTGGATGACGGCGCTTAAATTCAAAGCGCTCCAGAACTTCAAAAGTGGGGAGTGAACCTTGCCACCTGTTGTGGTTAGGTTCCGCCCCTGTTGTTTCACTGAGAGCGAAACTCAGCATCCCGTTTGAAAGCGGTAACTCGTCCAAACGTGGGCCGTGGTGCAGCCGCCAAGAGGCAAGAGGAGTGTGCGAAAAATTTGAAAGAAGGTTCCTGCTTTTTTTTTTCCAGGAGGACCTCGACCTTTCTTTTTTTTCCAGGCAGGCCGACGACGGGACTTGACATTTTGTGCGTGCACCTTCGACTTTTTTAGGCGGGTGGACATTTCGTGCAGGGATTGGGGGGGGGGGGGAGGAGGGGGTCCTCATGGGTTGTCCTGGGTCTATGGGTTAGGTGACCCAGTCCTAGCACTCACCTACCTGTCACCCACCCGCTTGGGTGACCCAGGCCTAATGTTGACCCACCTGTCACCCACCCAAGTTGTCTGGCCTTGACCCGCCCTCATCCCACCCAGGTCACCTTATCAAGACCCGCGCCTGACCCAATGTTCTCGTGGGTGGGGTGGGTGTAGGTGGATGCGGGTCTGGGTACCCGGTGCTCATCTCTGCACTTAGCCCACGTGGAGATTGCGTACAACCACGCTGTTTCGCCAGCCACGGGGATGTCGCCATTCTATTGCGACCTCGGCTACCACCCTCGCGTACCCGTGAATTTCCTACGACCATCGCGGTTGCGCCCAAACACTCGTCGCCCTGCGCTTGACGACTGGATCGCCCACATGGCGGCGATTATGAAGCGCGCACACGAGAGTTTAGCCGACTCCCAGACTCGCATGGCCGCACGAGCGAACCGACCACGAATGGATCATCCATTCAAAATCGGTGACGATGTGCTCGTCGACGCACGCCACTTACAAGTCGAAGCAGATACGCTTCGCAAGTTCAGGCGTTGTTTCTTCGGTCCATGCCCCATCCTTCAGGCCGTCGGCTCTGATACTGCCGCTAGTCCGGTCAGTTTCCGTGTGAAGTTACCTGATTATCTTCGACAGACTCGCGTACACGATGTTTACCACGTCTCTTTGCTGCGTCCTTATCGCAGACCGTCCGAGCGCTTCGCCGGACGCCCTTATGAGCGCCCTCCACCTATCATGGTGGACGGTCACGAGGAGTTCGTTGTTTCCGACATCGTATCACGCCGAGTTACCGACGATACCCCTCCACGTATCGAGTACCTTGTGCGTTGGAAGGGCTACCCTGATAAGGAGGCTACTTGGGAGCCCCTCGAGCACTTGCAGCACGCCAGGATGTTGGTGCGTGCATATGATCGTGCTCGTCGTGCTGAGACATCTGCTTCTACTTAGCCGACTGACCCTCTTCCTCTTCCTCCAGCTGAGAAGATTGCTGAGGACGAGCCCGCTCCCTCTGAGGCCATTCCTCAGTCGCAGACGGTCGCCTCCGAGTGTCCACAACGCACTCATCGTCGCCCTTCGCGTTACGATGACTGACACTGTTATCCTCCATCTTTCCCCACTGACTCACACCATCAGGTACTCCATCATCAACTTTTCTTCAGGATGTCAGCGTTTTGCGGCTCTGCTTCGACATCGACTCAACTGCTACTTCATCGACGTCATTGACCACTTCGACGACTTCATCTACCTTATCGGCTTCAGCTACTTTGGACGTGACTACTTCACGTAACCACCCTACCCTGTATACTCCCTTACCTCTGTCGCATGATGGTTCTTACTTAGTTGGGTCTCTTTGAGTTTGACTCTCCCTTGGTATCGCATAGGCATTGAGACCGTAGCGTTATCTTGGCTTCCTTGCTCCCAGATCTAACTCCCTCTCCCAGTCGGTGAGTTGTGTGCATGTTCCCTCCCCCACTGCCCTCATCACCCTAGCGCCGGCTATTGCATGCCTCCAGTTCGGCATAGCTCCACCCTATTCCAGGCTCCCCTTTTCATGGTCGACCCTGCATGGTGTCACCCTTTTGTCGAGCATTACCCGCCTTGATGGTCTATCTGTTATGGTCATTGGTTTTGTTTCGCTACCACTCTCCCACCTTGAGCCTGATGACCCATCCCACCTTCATGTGTGACTGCCCTTAGGAGTTTCGATTCTTAGGCTGCATTCACCCCCTCTGAGACCATCCCACTCTTAGTGGTTCAACGACATGACATTATCTTGTGACATATTGCTCTTTTCCTTTCAGCACTGAGGCCACCGCCTCCAGGAATTTAGGATTGTATCATACTACATTTCATTTTCTGTTGTTAGCTAGAATATGGATACCAGACATTTGCTTTCTTTTTACATTATGTAGCTTAGGATGCATCGCATGGACTCCGCATGGAGCTTGCTCAGCATCCTAGATTTCTCAGCTTTCTTTATTGCAGAGTTCCGTTGCTTTTGCGGATAGCGTGTTTATGGCTTTTGCGATCCATTACAGGTCTGAGGATCATGCAGCGGGCCTTCATTTGCCCTGGCCGACAACCAGGTCTTATTTGGCTATTTGCCCAGTTCGGCCTGTGGGACCAGGCCGTGGCCTGACCCCACAGGCCGTGTGCTGTTCTAGTCCTGCCCGGTACCACTGTCGGTACCAGTCCAGTCCAGTCCAGTCAGTCAGTCCGTCGGGGGTATACCCCAGCAGTTGTCTGTTTTTTGGCATTCTTCACTTTTGCAGATCTTGGAGTACGTGCGTGTGGAGTCTGCGTCGGAGCTGCGCTGTCCCTTCTAGCTCCATCTCTACCTCCTCCTTCGTCCACCCTTCTTCTCCATCCTGTCGGACCGCCATCTCGGCGGGTCCGGCACACTTTCTGATTCAGACTTTTCCACTTTTCCACTATGCTCTGCTTTGCCACCGTTTTGACCGAAACCTAGCGCGCGGTCCCACGGGCAGCTACCGGTCCTGCATTTGTCAAAGAAACTGCCACCCCCCCCCAAAGATCCACCCTGCTGTTGCTTTGCCACCGTTTTGACCAAAACTCAACACGCGGTCCCACGGGCAGCTACCGGTTCCGCATTTTTCAAAGAAACTGCCACTACCCCCCAAAGTGTCGTGCCTGCATCTGCCTGCATTTTTCGAACCTTCCAACGACCAAACGAGCCCGAATCAACGACCGGTGTAACGAAGGACGACGAATATGTCTCAGGGGGGAAAACGCACCCCTGACGGGCTGCGAACAAAAGGACCTGGCTCGTGGGCCATGCCCCGGAAAAGGGGTTTAGTTTAGGCTCCCAGTATTTTTCAGCGTGGCCACAGTGCGGCCGTGAGATTTTCAGATCTGATGGCAGGAGCCCGTTCCTACTCGAGAGCAAGTCTAAACCCCGCACGCAGGGAAGGCCCCGCGTGTAAACAAGCATCCCCTGCGGGCTGCTAAATGGGGTGCGTCAACCTCCCTGCTTGCCTGCCAGATACAGAAAACCTGATAATAGGCGAAGCTGGAATACAATTTTGTTGCAATTTTCCCTTCAGTTTTCGAGCCTTTTTCTCGTGGCCAGGAAGTGACAACTACAAGTTGAAGCATTCGCAGCCACAACTGTTTTCCTTTTTGCGTTTTTATTAATTGTGTTTTTCCAAAGCCCCTGCCGGCGAAGGCCGTAGGCGAGGTTCCACTTGTACCGATGGACGAAAAGATTCTGTCCGTCGATAACAGACATCTACGGCTGTTTTCTGTTAGTCGTGTGCTTGTCCGGACAAGGGGTTTTCACCAGCGGTGACCGAGGGCCTGGTCCCATGTTCCTAGATTCTCCGCTTCAGGTCGTTGATTCCCAAAACCAACGGCCAGGAGCGATTACTCGCTGTTAAGTGGGAACCAGCCCGGAGGTTGTGGCTCGGATTGAAGGACCGAACAATGGCCATATCGCACTCTCACAATGGGAGTTATTACGACACTTCACCGGTCTACGATCGTGGCCGCAGGTTTTTCAGAGCAACGGTCAGCGCGCGCCGGTTTGGTTTGCGGGGTCACCCCCAGGTTAAAACGTTGAAAGTTAATCTCTGTCGGTGCGGTTTCTACCTTCTAAACTCGCAATAAAACTGCCGCCTAAACTTGCAATAAAATATACTAGAGGCGGCGTTTTTTATGGAAATGCATGCCTTCCTGAGGCCGTCAGGCAGCTACGTAGTACAAGTATGTTTGGGCTATGGCGGGGTGAATTTTGTGCGCCTCCTGGCCAGTTCTTCGGGGTAGGGATTGGGATGAATGGTCCGATTGATCACTTCACTTCAGGAGCAAGTTGAGAGAGAGGGCAGGGTGATCGAGGCACACGCGGAACAAGGCCACGATGAGTGCAGCGTAACTCGGGAGCGCCACGTGCTGGAAAGCTTTGTCAGCTACGACGTGGTAACTGGGCACGCTCTCTTGCGGCATTGGAAGGGGCAGTGCGCGCCACGAGTCTACGCGCGGAGGGATAGGTCTGAAAACGTCCGCGCGTGCGCGTGCTGTTGCTGGTCGGCCCCTTTCGACGCGCCGAATGTGAACATCCGGTGAGTTCAGTTGCCAAGCCTTGATCTTCCATGCGTGCGACGTGTCACACGACGTGTCACACGCCTTGATCTTCAGTTGTACGACCTTGATCTTGTGTGCGTGCTTGGCCTTGTTGTAGCGTGTCACACGCTTTCCCGCCTTTCGTCAGGATCCTGTCCCCCCGCCCGTCTGCCTCCGAAAACAACGCCCCCGATCATGACCACAAGCTCTATTTCCGCCCCGATGCAGTCACGAGCAGGGTGCCTTGTGTTCGGGGGAGGGAGGGCATTTGTTGGCCTGCCCTTCAGCGGCGGCGGGATGATGGAATCCCCTGCTCCTCCCATTCGTTCGCACTCTGTTCTCGTCGTTTTTTCTTTTCTCTCTTCTCATGCTGTCAAGCCAGATAAGAAAGATCGCCTCGTGGTTTATTCCTTAGAATTATATCACACCCACTTACTGGTTCTCTCTCTCTGAAATGAGTGTGATCGTCCTGGGGCAGGGGATTCCCTGGGGCAGGGGATTGCCTGGGGTAGGGGATTGCCTGGGGGAGTGTTCATTGCTATTGAGTGTGATCGTCCTTAGAATTGTTACCCCCTCCTTTTGTTAGAATCGAGAAATAGCTCACAATCTGTCAGCACTTGCTATGTCTGCACCTGGTGACTTCATTCTTCTCGTCCTTTTGTTAGAATCGAGAAATAGCTCACAATCTGTCAGCACTTGCTATGTCTGCACCTGGTGACTTTATTCTTCTCGTCTGTCGGCTCCATTCCTTGGATCTATGGTGGATGAATGCGTTCATGTCTCTTGTTGGTTGAGCTTGGATTTCTCTTCTGATCGAAGGCCGTTCTGTGGACTTTGCTGCTGTGTGTGCGATGGCGGCGCTAAGCGCGCTGGTAACCGGCGACAGGCAGTCGGCTTGAGTCCGTCTTCAGTGTGAAGGTGACAGCTCAGCAGCGTGGCCCATTAAAAAGGAGCTGCGGGGCTGGGTTCGCTGAGCCAGAGGGGTGGTATCTCGGCGCACGTGGGATGCCCCACATCGCTGAGGGGGAGACGTGGCGCTTGACCGTCCCCCTCCGGCCTCCGTAGAGGGCTTGGAGTTAGCGGGCGCGGTTGGCAGCGGCCGCAACCCCGTCCGCAGCACTTGTGTTCGCTGAGCGATGTTGTAGGAGAGCAGCCTAGATTGATGAGAAGGGTTGATCTCCTCAGATCAGGCCAGTCTACTCTGATTCTATTTTCGGGAACGACTACCGTCTTCACCCGAATACAACGCCCGGTCTTTGTAGCCGTATTTGGGGCATCTTTCCGTCTAGATACGGCGATAATGACAGGGCGTTCTATTCGGGTGAAGACGGTAGTCAAACGCGATCGTTGATGAGGCCTCAATTTTTTCGAGGTGGAGGGATGAGGATGGTAGTAGGGAGGAGGTTGGAGAGAAGTGGATTGGTTGTGTGAGGGAGGACGAGAAAGTGGTGGTTAAGGCGGGGCGACTCTTCTCGCTTGCCCTAATTGATTGGGCGACGGTGGAGAAGGAATGGGCGGAGGAGGAGGATGAGGAGAAGGGGAGGAGGAGGAGGAGGAGGAGGAGGAGGAGGAGGAGGAGGAGGAGGAGGAGAAGGGGAAGAGGAGGTGGGTTGAAAGCGTACTTGTTTCCGTTCGCCCTAATTATGGGCCTCGCCGCACGACTCGCCTAACGCCAGCATCGCGAGTGGATCTGATCATTGTGTTCGACCCGATTCATTCAGAATGTTGGCATTGGCGAGTGGTGCGGCGAGGCCCTATATGGGCGATCGGGAAGATGAAGAGGGCCGGGAGTTGTGGATGGGGAAGAAATCGGTGATGATCTTTCCACTCACTCGCCGTGTTCGGCCGACTCTGGGAAAAGGCGGGGTTAAGCAGGAGGAGGAGATGGTAGACATCAAATGATGCAGGCACTGTGTTCGGCCGACTGTGGGATAAGTTAAGCCGGGGGTAGGGAGGAGGAGGAGGAGAGGGTAGACAACAAATGATGCAGGCACGGAAGAGAAGTAATTGGGGGGATGGGAACGTGAATGACCGATGTGGCTGGAAGGAGGATATGGTGGGTCGAGAGAAAATGGGACGCAGCGAGAGATGAGAGCCGTTGCTGCTGCTGATGAGAATGGACGGTCGATTTCGCTGAGATCAGCCAGTAAAGTTGCTGCCGTCTCGATCAGAGCACCGATCTCTTTTGGTTTTTTTTGATCGGTGTAATAGATGGATAGGGATGATTAGCTTGTTATCATAGATAGATGATGCCAATGGAGATGTTACTTCCCTGCTCGTCGATTTCGTGGGATCAGCCAGAAAGGCTGATGCTTCACCCAGGCTATATGTGGGTGACTTGTCGTCCGCACAACGTATACGAACGGGTCGTGACTTCGACTCCTGACGTAGTGAGAAAAGTCGGTACTGGTGTCTTTTGGCAGAGAGGAGATTGGGAGTGAGCTCTTCTGTGGATTAGGGCAGGGGTTGAGGGTTGTCGCCCATCTCTCTACTGGCCGCAGGTAGTTGAGTGGCTGAGATAAGAGGGGATGGATGATGAGCTCTTTTTCGCTGATCGACGTGGTCGCCAGTGATTGACGATGGAGTTCGGAGATTTGTAGACGAGAACGGGGATCTCGATTGGGAGTTACGGTAGGGAGCTAATTTCTCCCTCCCTCCTCCCCCCTCCCCCCTCCCCCCTCCCCCCCCACCTTCACTTGGGGAGCAATGATGAACTCCCAAGAATGAGGCTTGGCTTCGCGGAGATTGCAGGATGGATCTGTCATTTTTTTGGGTTTCGTTTTTGTACGTTTTCAAAGGTTTGGGGTTTCGTTTCTGATTTTTTCCTATGTGGGGTTTCGTGATGGGACGCTGGACACGGTGTGGTGTTGCTTTTTCTTTCCGACCAAAAGATCACGAAAGATAATTAAAGACGGGTTGGATAGTTGGGTGGGATGGGTAGGGGCCGGGTCTGCGGCGTACTTGCAGTGGGAAAGCTGCCAAGGTTCGACGGTCAGTAGCAGGAGTGCTGGTGGGTGGCACTACTGACAGGACGAGAGGTTGGGCAGGGGTTGGATTTATTTTTATTTATTTATTTTTTTTATTTTTTTTTTAATTTGGACCATTTCTCGATTTATGCGTGTCATCCTTGCGCAGGGGCCATGCTAATCTTCTCTGTATCGCTCCAATTTTAACGGATGTCCCGAAGGACAGGGGGTGGATTTCGGAACGAGTGGTGGGAGTGACCGCTGGATTGACACGAGTAAGGTGGACTGGTAGGGCTGCTGGTGGGACTTCTGCTGGGGCGCAGGCCGTGTGCTGTTCCAGTCAGTCCTGGCCAGGCCTGGCCGGTACCACTGTCGGTACCAGGCACCAGGCCCGTCCAGTGGGTCCGCTGGGGGTATACCCCAGCTGTTGTCTGTTTTCTATTCATTCTTCGTTCTGCACATGTTGGAGTACGGGCGTGTTGAGCGGCGCTGTCCCTTCCATCTCCATCTCCATGTCCTCCACCCTCAACCCTTCGTCCTCATTCTGGCGGTATCAGAGCGGGAACGTTCCCCGCTCCTACCCACCACAGCCCGAAATATGGTGTAGCGGGATTTTGCCTGTTTTTTGGGCGTTCAAAGGGACTATGGATGGGATTACAGGTAGTGGGGCGTGCTGAGTCAGCCGGTAGTGGGAATGGTAGAGCTTAGGGTGGGGTCTGGATGGGCACTGCTGGCAGGATGGCCGCACCCCGGGTGGGCTGGGTCAGCCCGTAGTGGGACTGTTGGTACTCAAGGTGAGAGTCTGGATATTTGGTGGCGAGCCAGAGACGAGCTGGTGTTCGTTTCTTCTTGGGATAATTTGCAAAATACCGCCATAAGTTGAGATGTGTGCCAAAATGCCCCTGGAAGATGTGGGTAGAGCGGAATGCCCCTACGCCCCATCTTTGCAATATACCTCTACAGGGTACCGTCCAACTTTGCAAAATGCCCCAGTACTGGCCAACTTTTTCAAGGCTCGATTGGAAAAGGCCAAACGTCGAGGTCCAGATCGCAAATTTTCACACCCGCCTGACAGGGGCATAACACAAATATTTCGGCCCAAAAGGGCTTTCCAACCCTACACCCATCTTTCAGGGGCATTTTGGCATATGTCCCGACTTTTTGGCGTTAATTTTGCGAATTATCCCTTTCTTTTTTTCTCCATTCACTTGGAGCCGCTGATGGGAATCTATTGGCAGGCTAGATGTTAGGACTGCGGGTTCCATTTGCTTGGCCCACCAGTGGTACTCTATTGACAGGAGTGCGACAGGTGGTGGATGGTGATGGGGATGGATGGGGGACCTTTTGCGAGAGGGGAAACGTGCCTGCGGGGATCTAGAGAGAGTGCTGTGTCTGGTGGAAGTAGTAGGCGGGAGAGGTGTCTGGTGGAAGTCGTGGAGGAAGGCTTTTTTTTTTTTTTTTTCAGTGAGAGGACTTCCGGCAGGACTTCGGGTAAGACTCTTGCTGGGACGTCTGACGCTATTTCTGATGGACTCAGATGGAGCTTCGTGTGTGTTTCCTGAGATGAGACGTAACTGCTAGCCAGTTACTGCGAGTGTTCTGGGAACCGCTATCGTCTTCCCCCGAACACAACGCACACCCATTTTGCCTGTATCGGGTCGGAAACATAGCTTGTATACGTTCATTTTCAGGGTGCGTTATGTTCGGGGGAGGACGGTAGTGGGGCAGATCTCATACGATTCGTAAGGCCACGTATAGTAGGACGGTGTTGTGCCTGGTGGGACTGGTGGGACTTCTTGTGGGACTGCTGATTGGATTGGAGGTTGGACTGCGGGCAGGACGTTGTGGTCATGCTACGTCGTCTGAATCGGACCAGCAAGATAGCTTGTATACATCCATGATCAGGGTGCGCTGTGTTCGGGGTGGAAGACGGTAGCCAGCGTGTGCGTGTGGTATTGCTGGTTGGAACTGATCTGGGATGAACGGTAGTGGGACCTCTGGGACCTCCGTTGGGACCGCTGGTTGGGCTTCCG